CAGGTGGACCTTGGGTGGATTCCTCACTGTCTTTAGTCATAAACACCACCAGGTTTCTCCTCTGCTGTTTTGACAACTTCTACAGAGAGAGCCGTGTCAGAACTAAAGATAAGGAAAACATTTTTGACAGTGTGTGAAAGAAACTGGCAGAAGTGTATCTAATTTGGCAGAAGGTCTCCTTAGAGCAGAGATAAGCGGGCTCGCCAAGGAGATGTTTATGGGCAGGATGAGGGGAGGGGGCTATCCTTTCCTCCTCAACCCCCTGGGGGCCAGTGAGAGAAGCAGGGCTGATCTGTTGGAGCCTCCCACGAGGTCCCTCGTCCTGGAAGTGATGGGTGCTCGGGGACGGCCCCATGGGGCTGAGCCTGTGCGGCCTCCTCCAGCTCTGTGGGGCTCCAAGTGTGTCCCCCAAGACCTCCCCTGGCTCAAGAAGCTGCCAGGGTTGGGGCCAGAACAACCCAATGTAGACACCTCGGCTAGCAGGAGAGGCTCCCGTGGAGCTCAGGAGTCACCGTGTCCACACGGTCCCCTGTGGTGGGCAGGGCATGGCTGTGCTGTCACACATGTAACCCTGCACAGATCCACATATGGCTCAAATGAATGTCTGTGCTTCTGCACATGGGTAGCCCCATCTGGGGCATACACACCCCTAGGCTGGTGTTCTACACGGCATTCACACCCACACGGCACAGCTGTGGCCTCTCTTGGTGGCTTGCACATGGCCTGATCCCCTCATCTGGGTGAGTCAGGCTGGGACCAGCCAGTGGATGCTCGTGGTCACCTGAGGGTGTGTCCCAGCTACAGAGCCAGTCCTCTGGGGGACCCTGAGCAGTGTCCCGAGGCCTGCGGGGCATCCAAGTGGAGACCCAGAAGGTGCTCAAACTGGTAGAGGCAGGCTTGGGACACTGTGGGCACACACGAGCTGCAGACGGGATAAGAAAGGGAGTGGAGAGGCCAGGATGTGTGCAGGGGCAGCCTCCAGGGAGCATGCGGGGGCCAGTTGGGAGGAAGACCCAGAAGGGGAGGGGAGGAGGGGGTCCGTAAAAGGCTCCAGAAGAACAGAAGCCAGAGGCCGGCATGCTGTAGACCCTGAGAGGAAAGGGAGAGGCAGGAACTCCGTGAGGGGAAAGTGGGGACGGGTAGGAGGCTGGGGTGCAGTGAAGGCTACAGGGGCTCTACCACGGGTCAGCTGCCCAGCTCTGAAGGGTTCCCACAATCACAGATCACCTGGGCCCACAGAAAAGGGCACTCCTGTGTGTTTTCATCTGATTGCCACTTTGCTGAGGTGGGGACTGGGGTTCTGTTGGAGAAGCCAACACTCCACCTCCTTAACTGAAGGAGGAGCAAAGAGAAAGGACAAGCCTGTAACGCCTGGAAGAGATGCTGGCTATACCACCAGGTTGGGAGTCTACTGACGGTTAGGGAACTCCCCCAGCCACAGCTGACACAGCCTCTACCCAATAGCCTTAGGGACACAGTGGTTAGTTTCTCCTGCACCCATGGGGTGGCACCGACGCAGCATCCACACACAGTCAGGTGCTCATCCCCGGGGGTCATTACCTGTGGGTCCAGGTGAGGCATGCAGGTATAAACACCCATCTACCTTGGCGCCCTTTCAAAACCTGGCTAAAGTGACAGCTTTTAGGGTGTAAGTTGACAGGGATGGGAAGATGGAGGAAGAGACAACAATGTGATTAGAAGCCAGAAAACACACAGATACACAATGAATGACTCAGCAGACCCAAAACCGGAATTACAGCCAGAGTGTGGGAAGCTCCAGACGGAGGCAGTCCGCACCTCAGAACCCCCGGGGACTGGCAAGTTCAGGTTCTGCTGGAGGTAGAAGAGGGGGCCTGTATCAAGAATGACTGGTGGAAAGTATGTCTATGAAGTCAGAAGATTCTCAAGACCCCTGTCCTGACTCTGAGAGCCAGGGAACACTCCCCTCCCTCTGGATAAAGCTTTGAGTTTTAGTCTCTGGAGAGTAAAAGAAGGGTCTGCAGGCTGGGAGAGAAGACCCAGTGAGGTTCCCAAACCACAAATAAGTCCTAAGAGAGCGTCTGCCTATGACACCAAGATCCTGCCCCTACCCTGGACCCCAGGAGGCTGGCAGCTGAAGAAGACCCTCCAAGCAGGACGTGGGAGCATCTCCTGGGGGGCAAACAACTGGTGTCATCATCAGACTGCAGGACTGTGCAGCCTTCTGACGTCACAGTAACGCCGCGTCATCTTGAAGCCAGAGGGGCTGCAGGGGTCCCTCCGTCCACAGCATGACTAAGACACCAGCTGGTAAATGCAGAGCCAGTTCCAGCTCAGGTCTGCTGACCCCACAGAGGACAAACCCTCAAAAGCCCAGGACGTCGTGGCAGATGGAAGCTTCTCATGGAGGTACTGAGGACCCAGAACTCTGAGGCCAGGCTCCCTTGTACCTCCCAGAATCCTCGAGCCAGAGGACAGAATCTGGAAAACCTCAAGTTCTTATCAGATCAGAGCAACCTCCTTAGAGCTCATAGTTCTTCAACATCAAGGTCCTTCACACCAGCATAGCGTGTCCACTCTAGGATGTCCCTTCTCCCATGACCACCAGCCACATCCCAAACATGGTCTCCCTGAGACATCTTCCAAATCCCACAGCAGATGGCCCTCCACAGGGAGCGCAGCCCACACACATCTGTTAAGGGCAAGGCTGAGTCCATCCTGGTTGGAGCCCTGCCCAGGGCCAACCTGGGATTGGGTTGGAACTGTCTCTCCCAGGGCAGCTCTCTCGGCCGTTGCCCACCTGTCCCCAACCATGAACAGAGGTCTTCCCTGAGATGTGGCCCGTGGAGGGGGCCCTGCACCACCTCATGCCTACCTTCCAAAGCCTCTCGGTTCCCTCACCACCTGCACACTCACCTGCACTTGAAGCTGACCTCTAGGGCCCTCTTCCCACCCATGTTACTCTTGTGGTTCTTTAGACCAGCCAGGCAAGCACACTTGCACCAGCCGTCACTTTCCCAGGCATCCGTGCCTCTCAGCATGGCTGCTCTTGGGAATTACCTGGCAGCCTTGAAAATGAGTCCTGACGCCGTGCTGCGTGCACTGGGGGGGGAGGGGGGCTTCTGGCTGAGCTGGTGCAGGTGTACCAGGCTCCCTCAACATGTACTGTTTCGGTGTCAGAAAGGGCGAGAGGCCAAGTGAATCTTCAGAGGAAACAGGGCAGAGACCCCAGGAGAGGGTGAAGGCAGGAGGTCCCACGCAGAGACGGATGTGGCGATTCACTCTGAGCATCTTGTTCTCTCCCAGCCCTGGCCTCTTCTACCTCTTCTCCAGGCAGCCAGAGCAGGGGCCTCAAGCGGCTCCCCAGAATGGTGTCACCTCAGCTTGCAGAGGGGACACTGCAGGGTTGGTATTGCCCACATCCCAGCACTTGTGTGCCAGCATGACTGGGTACAACCCAGATAGCAGCTGGAAATGAGGCCCAGAATTTCTAAGAATTTTCCTTCATTCACATGTCAGATGGAAACTCCAGGTTAGCCTCAAGGGCCGCATTCCCAGGGAAGTCAAAGTGTGTTGACAGTTCAGGCTGAAGTGACTAGAAGCCCAAACCTAAGTTTCACCTGGGAGAGATAAAGCCCTACCTGACACAAAAGTGTAAGATACCTTCAGGTACGGCTGAATCCAGGAGCTCTGCAAAGGCCATTGGAGAGCGCTCTCTTCCTCCCCCTCTCACTTCTACCTTTCTCTCTCTATTGCTCAGCTCTGCCTCTCTCCAGATTGTCCAAACTCTCCTCCTGCAGGTAGCTTCCTCCTGTGGCTAGGAGAGAGGACTTGGGGCAGCCCCCGCTTCACGCCCCACACACTGACAACCCCAGCAGAAAGACTTCTCTCTGACCCCGGAAAACTCTGATTTAAACATGCCCGGTCTGCGACTTAGACCTCAGGGGAAAGGGCAGTTCCACGGAGGAGATTGGGTTCCACAGAGGAGATGTGGCATCAGGGAGAGGCCTGAGATGGAGGAGTCCACCCACCACCCAGTCCCCAGGAAGGTGACTCATCAGAGCCATCGGGACAGAGACGGTGTCCTCACCACAGACAAGCTCCCGCTCACAGTCAGAGTGGACTTTTATTAGGAAATCACCCTGCAAACACACTGAGAAGTGCTGTGCTGTGGGTTCCATGTGTTTCCTGAGGAAGGAGGGTCACAGTATCAGAGCTGTCGAAGGAAAGGGGCCGGAGGGCAGGCGGCCTGGGCCCGCGCCCCCACAGCAACAAGACTCGGCCACCGAGAACCTGCACACAGACGCAACACGGGAAACACGCCAGGGCACACACATCTGCACTACACTTAAATAAACAATAAATACAGATTCTGTTTGCTGTTGTCCATGCCTGGAACAGAAGGAGCCAAAGGGGCAAAGAAAACCAGAAAGTCCCTCTTTCCAGTGGACCAGGGGAGAGTGTCCCCAAATTATCAAACCTCCTCAGTTACAAAATACTTTTTCACAATTCCGTTATTAAAATAATAAATAACAAAATATATAAAAAATAACTTGGTTGCATTAAAATTGTAACTAGAAGTTACAGCGAGACTTTTTTGTGGCCTATCTCATAGTCCGATGGGTAATTTTGCTTTGATTTCATTTATTTTCCTCTCATGCGTCCTGGTGTGGGTCTAGGTAAAATAGTACAAAATTAATAAATAAAAATGTCAAATAAATAGCAAATGTTAACATAAGAGGTTGTGAATATAAATACTTACATTTTGACAAAATTAAATAATTTACAGAATAATTAAACTAACTACTTTCTTATTTCTTCCAGGAAGTGCAATTTCTCTACTTTTAAATACTAACTTGGAATTGCAGTCACAATTGATTTGGACTCTATTTACATGTTAAGAACATCGTGTTTTTAACACATTAAATTAAAATTTACCTTCTTTTGAATCTTGAATGGATCTAAAAAGAAGAGAGCCCTTGGTGGTCTCCAATTAGGGATTTCCCCCTGACCTTGCTCAGCTGTGACCCGGGGCACGCGGCAGTGATGGGTCTGGGTCTGGGTCTGGGCGGGCGCATGCAGAGCCAGAGGCCCCGGCCCTGACCCAGACCTCAAGAGGGAGCATGACCCCAGGCCGCAGTGTCTGTATGGGCTCAGGCCACAGCACCCAGACAGAGGAGCTTCCGGTTGGAACTTTCAAGGGTCCCAGGTTAGCTTCCTTGAGCTGACAGTGGGCTGCAGGCATATTCCTAACCTACCCTCTGGAACGTTGCTTTTTTCCATCCTTAACATAAAACTGAATTAAAGGACAACAGAAAACACACTTGCCACAGTGGCTGCACCAAGCAGGCACACGGGCACGCTCCAGGCTGACATGACACACGCACGACCCGCCCCGGCCCACGGCTGCCCTCCCGCCTCGACAGACAAAGCAATACTGTGGTTGCGAACTCCAAAACTTCCCTGAGAACCTTGTCCATGAGCTTCCACTGGAGACTCCAGAAGCAAAAACAAATCACTTGTAACCCTTCGTGCACCTGCACTTGCGTGGAGAGGCCCAGGCTCTGGCCTGGCAAAGCGCATCGCATCGAGGAAGATACGGCTTTCCAGGCCCAGCCCCTCCGGGTGGCCACCGAGGCTGCCCGGGGCTGCCAGCTAGGAGTCACTGTAAGTTGGAAATCTCCACCGGGAGGGCCGGGCAAGGGAGGTAAACAGTGGAGCTGAGTGGGTGCCCGGCGCCCCGGGGTCAGCATGGTGGCTCCCCGAACAGGGAGGCCTAGACCTGGATCCCCCTCACAGCCTGCTTGATGCTCTCCAGGAGGTCCTTGTTCTCCGGGTTCTGGTAGCACTCCTGGTTGGAGTACATGTCGGTAAGGGTGCTTACGTAGGCGTCAAAATTCTGCTCGCATATTGGCTCCTAGAGAACAGAAGCAGTTTCGCAAGGCCCGTCCATGCCGCGGGCGTGTGGTTTTCAGAAGCAAAGGAAATAGAAATCGGTGGGTGAGCCTCAGACCCACATGCCCACGCCCCCGGAGACTAGCCCGGGCATCCCCTGGGCGGCCCTCGGGCTGGAACACCCAGGGGCACAGGCCAGCCATGTGGCCCGCCCAAGCAGAACTCCTGGGCCGGGGCCTTCCACCAGGACCCCAGAGGCAGGGGAGCGCCCCACCCTCCTCGTCCTCCTGGAGCCCCGGGGGCAGGTACCAGCTCAGCTGTGGTGCCCACAGGGCCACTTGCTGCTCACCATGTGCGGAAGGCGGATGTTGGCGAGGCTTCGGATGAGGGCTCGGCTCAGGCCCGACAGCTCCAGAAACAGGGCCTCATTCTGCTCCTCAATGAGCCTGTTCTCCTCCTCGATGGTCTTCAGGCTCTTCTCCATGGACAAGATCTGCGCAAACAGAGAAGGCAGCTGCCTCCTGGCACGCCCTGCTGGGAGCACGCCAGCCACGCCGCTGGCCACACCTCACGTCTCTGTGAGAGGGTGTGGAGGCAGGGACCCTGCCCCCCTGGGGGTCCTGCTGCAAGTGAGGGGCTGGCCTGGGCCCTGAGTGGAGGAGGCGATGCAGAGACTGAGCCAGGGGCTGCAGGGCCACAGCCTTCTGTGCCTCATGGGTCCTATGGGGTGGAGAGGAGCACAGACCGAGGTGCCGCTTGGCTGTGCCACCAGTCCGGCCGTCCTCCCTACTCCTCTTCTGTGATGGGAACACACCCACCCCAGGGTGACCACCGGCCTGCGGGGTTTCCCGCACCAGAAAGACCAAAACATTGTGGAGGCAAGTGGAGCAGGTCTGCCTCTCTCTCTGCAGCTTGCAGCTGGACAGGCCTGACCGACGGCTTCCCCAGCTCCCTGGGGGCATCCTAGGGTTTCCAGCACAAACCCTGTTCCTCTGGACCCAGCAGAATGCCAGGAGAGAGTCCCAGGCAGAAGCCCAGGAGCTCCTCCTCCCAGGGGCTCTGAGGGCTCCACACCAGAATAGCAGAGGACATGTGGGCAGGGCTGGCTGGCTTGGGATCCACATAACCCTGTGCAGAGGCTCACAGTGGGGAAGGCAGCTGGGAAGGCTGCCCAGGGCCTGGCCTGGAGAAGACACGCTTGGGAGGCAGCCCCTGCCCAACCGCCTCTTGAGGGAACCTGAAGGCAGAGGCAGGCACACAATGTGTGTGGTACACGGAGCCGTCCCTTAGGTGCGGGTGGTGAGCGCCTGCGAGGGGGCTGCAGCTCTGTGACCTGTGGCTGGGCGCATCCCTCCTTCATCGCTGACTGACCAGCCTTTGGCTTTAAAAGGATTGAGTAGGGTTGGGGAGCTACGCTGTCTTTGCATGAACCCTTCTGCAGAGCACTCAACTCCAGACCCCTCCGTCCTTCCGAAAGGACGCTGAATAGTGAGTAGTCTGTCTATGAACGAGGTAGGCATTGGCAAACCAAGAGAAATCAGAGGTGCTTCCCAAGGCTATTGGCTCTGGGAGGGCCCTTGGACTTTGAGAAGGAAAGAAGCAGGGAGGGACGGGGGTGACAGCCGCCCGTGAGGTGTCTCGGTGCCCAGAGACAGTCCCTGTACGCCTTCTCTGCCTCCATTGCCCAGAAACCCCGGGGAAGATGCAGCATGGCGGGATGAAACCCATCCCGACCTTTCCAGGCTGATGCTGCTTTTCTGCCAGTGTATGACCAATAGGAGGTTAGCGTGCAAGCCTGCCGATGGGGAAGGAGCAGCACGCGGGGCCCAGTGCCTCACACCTCCCACTCTCCCCTCTGCCCTCTGACCCTGCGGCGCCAGGTCAGCTCTTTATCCCTCTGTCTTTCCAGCCATAGGGGACACAGCTACGTGTGGCCGCTCCAGCCCCCACTCAGCAGCCAAGGGAGGGACATGGTCTTCTTTTTAAAATAAGACCTTTACTGTTTTTTTACTCATTGCAAATATTCATTTTGGGGAAATGAGTGAGACATGACACACACACTTAGGGCAGTTTGTCACCCCATCACTTGGCAGCAGTGCTCTTTCTGGCTGGGACGCCTGAACTCACTGTGTTCATCTCACAACCACTGAACTGGGCAGGTCCTGGTATTGTCTCTCGCCCTCCTGTGAGGGCGTCCGGGAGCAGACTGGTGACCAGTCCTCCAGTGTGTAGCAGTGCCAGGTGGAACCCAGCTCCAGCCAGGCTCTCGGAACCCACAACCTGGTTCTGCTTCTACTGACAGGACCAGTAGCCCTGGAGGGACCACAGCACCAGACCCCCAGGACTCCTGACACTACTGGGCAGGGCGCGGGCTTGGCACCCCCCCACCCCACCCCGGGAAGAGGAAGCCGGGCACAGGAGGGACTTCCTTGGGGTGGGGAGGGGAAGGTGGCAGCACTGACCTGGGACTGCAGCTGCACCATGGCTGCCTCCATCTCCGAGTTGGACTCGTTCAGGTCACGGATCTCCTGGTTCAGCTGCTTGATCTCCTCATCGGTCTCCAGCACTGCCCGAGAGAGACCGGGTTGTGGCTTGGCCAAGCCCCAGCCCGCAAGTGGGTGCAGTGGAGGCCTGCCCTCCAGGTGCAACTAGGGACCCCGTCCAAGCAGAGACACCCAGCTGGTGTCCCACATTCCATGATGGGAAAGTCGGCCTTGGGGACTACTGGCCATGTGTCAGCTGTTTGCCTCCTGGCCCTGGGTCTTACGTGGGAGAAGACACACTTCTTTGGCAGATATTAATTGCTAAGATAAAAATGGAAGTTTTTCCAGATGAGGCTGAATTTCCTCAGCTTCCCTCTTCATTGAGCCTAAGCGGGTTTGCAAATCCATACATCTTGAGAACACGGTTTCCAGTGCTGCTGGCAGGGCTCTCTGGTGCCAACACTCACCAACACCCAGGTCAGAGCAGTCACGGCCACTCTCGGGCACAAGGCAACCAGAAGCTCTGAGCCCAGGTCAGAAGAGCCACTGGCTCAGCTCGAGGACTCAGCCTTCACCAAGACTCTTTCCACGTGGGGCTTAGCCACCTACCCCCGCCCACTGGTACTGCTCACTCAATCAGGTTGCAAAGATCACAGGCAAGATGGCAGCCTTACCATCACTTGTCTTGAATTTTGGGCTGAGAACCTCGTCCCCTGAGAGTTTTCCCTTTTTTCCAGCAAAGGTCGCTCTAGGGCAGCCAGACAAGCTGGAAGCAAAGGTCACACATCAAAAGCCAGCTCGAGGTCATGCACCAGAGGCCATCTGAGGTCACATGTAACAGTGAGAACTAGGTTTAGCTGGCAGCCAGGTAGGGTCCTGTTTGGAACTGTGCCCCTCTCTCCCCAGCTCCAGCCCTCCATCCTCCTCACCCCTCCATAAGCCCAGACCATTCTCAGCTCAGGCCACTGCTCTTAGACGTCACTTCGATGGCTCATCCCCCAGACGGTGCCTCGCCTCCTCTGAAAGGACCTCCTCACCCACTCCCTGCCACTACATTCCCCGGTGCAACCATCCTTCACCAAACTTGTATTAAGTGTATCTGTTGTTTGCAGTCTGGCTCCCCTGCCGCTCCGCCCAAATCAACTCCAGGAGGGCTGGTGGCCAGTCTTGTTCTCCAGAGACTACCTCCAGAGACTGGTCTTTGATGAACTATCTGTATTGGTTTATGGAATGAATGAGCTAATTAATCGTGTAGATGGAGAAACAACAGCAAAAAAATAAAATAGAAAAATGAGGCTCCTGATGGGACCAGGTGGTGACTCCGTTCACCCTGGCTTCCTGGCACAGAGAGGAAGAGGACCGGGGCGGTGTCAGGGGCAGGCCCACTGCCTGGGCAGGAGGGGGCCCTTGTAAAGCAGGCAGAGGCCTAGGCCCAAACTTCAAAGAGGAGGTTCCAGCGGGAGGGGCAGGGCGTGAGCTGTGACAATGCTTTTCAGGAGGCAGCCTGCTGGCCTCGCTCTTGCCAGAGGGATGTAGAAGGGGTCTGAGGACAGGAGACACCTGCACTGGCAAGTCCCATAGCCTTCAGGTGGTCCCACAGACTCTCTATGGCTTCCTCCAGTTGGCTACCAACTGGGTCTTCCTTTTCCCTCGAGAAACTACGGTTCACACCTGACCTCAGTTTCCCTCCCTGGGAGCCCTGCCCCAGCCCAAAGCTGGGGTCCCTCGTGGATGGCGGAGAGGGTAGTTACCTCCGGTGGGTGAGGAAGCTCCCATTGGCGTGGCCAGAGCCATCGCAGCCTGGAGTGGGGCATGTGGGCCCCTCATTCTTCAGAGACTTCCAGGAGAAGGACGAGCCATTGAGGGAGCCCTCTTTCTGCCTCCGGGCAGCCAGGGGGCAGCCCGACGCACTCCTGTGAGAGGCGTATTTGCCGCTGATGTGGCCAAGCCCCACACAGCCTGGAACTGGGCACCTGGGCACAAGAGTTCAGAGGTGAGCACAAGGTGCCGGAGGTGGGAGGAGAAGCCCAGAGACCCTCCCAAGCCAGACCCTGAGACACTCCGGGAGCTCCTGGCTAATCTCCTAGTGTTGGAGGAGAACCTGGGCCTTCCCGACCAGAGGTGAGGGCAGCAGGGATCGTGGTTCCCCTCTAGTCTTGGCTTCGTGTCCACTGCACAGCAAGAAGGCCAGCAGCCACCCTCTCTCCCCACCCCCTGCAACGGTGACCCCTGGGGCCTGGGGCTGGCTCTTGGTGGCCTCTAGGTCCACACCTAGACCTTGCTGCCAGCATCGCTTCTGTATTACCCCAGAGGCCACTTGCTGGGAGCTTGCACTGAGCACGGGGCCTAGGGGACCTGGGGGTCACAGGCAGCTTGGGGACAGCAGGGTCCCCATCACCCCACAGCATCCCAGAGTGAGGCTGGCCGTGGCATGATGCCCATGATGTCCCAACTTGACTGCATCTGGAACGTGTATCCTGGCTGGAAGGTCGGTTGTCCACAGAGCTCCGACTGCCCCTGGCAACTCCTGTCCAAGGCCCCTGGAGCAGCATTTCCTCTGTTCGGGTTGCTCGAGGAAAGGAAGTAAATCCTTTGCAGAGGCAACAAGCGCCCCAGGAGCAGGTGAGGTGATGTGAGCCCCTCGTGCCGCCGCTGGAATCCATGCAGTCAGAGAACAGGACGAGGAGAGGGCTCTGGGGGTCTATCCTCACAGCCAGAGGATGAGCCCCTCCACCTGCTGGTTCCGTCTCCTTCTTCCAATAAACCAGGCTGCTTGTCACCCACTTTCCACATGCCACAGACCCAGCAAACTCACAGGACCCATTTACAGAGAGGTCCCTGGGGTACAGAGAAGTCAGAGGCAGGAAGCCCTCAGAAGGGCAGCAGAGTTGGGGAACAGGCCATGTGGCCTGGGGGCCCCTGCACTCTGGCCTCATCTCAGAGGTGGCCGCTGCGGACACATTTCCAGGCTCCTCTGCCAGGACTGTCCTCGTGGGCCCCTGGGCACTCATCCCATCCAGGTGGGCCCCAGATGTCAGGGTGTCCACTGAGCCAGCCCCCGGTCACCTTAGACGCCAGTCCAGAGCAGTGTCACTGCTGAGGCCCTGCAGTGGCTGTGGGGAGGGTCCATTCTGTGTCCATTCCCCCAAACCTGGACAATTCCCAACTGTGGGGTCTCAGGGAAACCCTGGGACTGGCACTCTGAGGTGCCTGTGAGGCCTGACATCACAAGATCAAAAGGCCAAATTGAGAGGCAGCATCTCATTTACAACGCAGGTGAATCTAAATTCTTTCTTCCCACTTTCTTCAGTTTCTTTGCAAAGCCCTGGCCCTCCACCTCAGGAGGGGCTGCTTCTGTCTCCCGGGAACTGCATCCACGATGTTTCAGGTGTGTGGGCAGGAACGGCCTCTCTCTCTTTTACTCCACTTGGACCCCAGGTAGGTCCAAGTCTTCAGAGCTGTCAGGTGGCCTCACGTTAAGACGTGTGTGGGGACCCAAGTCGGGCGGCTACTACGCTCCCAGGTGAACCCAGGGCCCCAGGTCAGAGGCATATCTCTGCGCGGTCAGGTGTCAGCATGGCCAGGGACAGCTGGGGGCCTCCCACAGACAATGCACATTAAGCTCTGGAACCTCCATTGACTCTCATGGTCAGTTATTTGGTGGTGGCCAAAAGGATTTACCACAAAATGCTGACCTGGCTCAATCTTAAATGGTGCAGACACAAGACGGCGTAAAAGGGAGCTCTTCCTCCACCAACCCCTCCAAAATCACAGCTCGTGCATGCTAACGACATCCTGTCCGCAGCAGGACCTGAAGCACCTATTAAAGTGTCTGCTGTGGTCTGCACTTGTTTAAAGACAGTAGTCAATTATAAACACAGATTAGGTTTATGGCTGTAGGAAGCCCCATAAAATGGAGGCAGCAATTGGGCAGCCTCCTCTCCTGGCCATGGAGCCACTGGAAACTTCACCCATCCTGTAAATGCTGAACTGCTTCTGACAGTCACATTCTCCACTTGGCTGCAGAAATCTTGCTTTTTTAAAGGCAAAGTTGACAGCACATTAGGAAGAGGAAAATCATTTTTCCCAGTTAACTTGAAAAATGCTGATCTTGATTTGAACCATTTGCAAATGCAGCACAATTCACTTCCAATCCCTTTCAGCAGGATCCTTGCTAAATCCGTAACAGCACTGCATTCGTGTGATCACAGGCAAATTCCTGGATCCTCAGAAGGAAAAATACTCCTTTACCGCCCTCCCATTTAGTGGGCAGCATTCGCAGTACCAGCAACCATGTGTTTTGCATTTCTGATTCAGTACTTGTTACAGTTTTATTGTATAAATTAAATAAACAAGCCGCAGCCTTATTACACCAAGCAGCTGGTGGGCCGTCCCCTCTGAAGGTCAGTGAGGCCCCTCCTCTGTGGCTGAACAGATGCTCTGGGGCAGCTGGGGTGAGGTCCAAAGAGGAGCAACCGAATCTTGGGCCAGATGTGGGGTGAGCATCCAGGTGTTTGTGGCCCGCAGGTAACTCAGGGCAGATCTGCTTCCTGTGGACCTGCGGGCCCTGACCCAGCCAAGCCAGCCCCGAGGCCTTGGGGCCCCCAGGGCCAGCGCCACCCCTGCCACTCCTCAGCTGCCGGAGGACCCACTGCCTGCTCTGCCCACGTCAGCTCTGAGAGTCCTGGGCAAACCGGATGGTGGGTCACCCCGTTCGCACCTGTGGCATGGCCTTGCCCACACCTGCAGGTGGGGAGTTCGGGGGCAAGTTCCCCTCTGGAAAGACCAGCTTGCAACACATCAGCTCCCTTCAAAGATGAGGCAGCATGCAGACACACAGACAGTTCAAAGACTCACCGCTTTCTGACCTCCTCTCCTCCTTGACTCCTGCACTGACCTTTCCCACCGGACATGCAGATTGCAAAGCTCCTGCGTGACCTGGGGGGCCACCCACACCCTGAGGCCTACACCAGGTACCCTAGGTGCCCAGGCAGCAGGGTGCTTTGCCTCTCCCAGCCCTGTCAAACAGCCCAGACCTGGGAAGCCCAGACAGGAGCCAGTGCATGTGTGTGCCCTCATAGGAGTCCACGTGCATAGCACGAGCACGTCTGTGCCCCAAAATGGGCACTGTCACTGATCAGCTATATTACTGCAAAGGGAATCCAGAAGGGGCTTTTAAAATTACAAATGCAGGAAAACCCCAACTCTGCACCACCATGAAGTGGCCGGCAGGACCTAGACTCACTTCATTAGCTCAGGGTCCTCCTTGTCGTCCTTTGCAGGCGTCGCCTTGGCTCCACTCTTCTTGGCACGGGGGCAGCCTGACAGGCTGGTTTTGAAAGAGGAAAAAAATGCCACAGTTGTCCCAGAACAGCAGTATCTCACACCAGCCCCACAATCTCTGGGGAGACTTCCGCTGGGGAGCACCCTGCCCGGCAGCAGGGCCACCGCAGGAGGCAGCAGGGCCACCGCAGGAGGCATCACCACGAGCCCCAGATCTGGCTGTAAGGCCAGCTGTCCAGGCTCTGGGAGCATCAGCAATTCAGATTAAAGACATGAAATGGGTTCTTGATGCAGCAACATTAGTGTCTCACTTGGAGTCCTGCACTTTGAGGAAGAGACCACCCCCGCCCGCACCAGTCTGGCATCCAGGGCGTGGCAGGCTCACCTCCGGTGCGAAGCGTAGTTCCCCGTTATGTGGCCAGAGCCATCGCAGCCGGGCGTGGGGCACCTGCGGAGGACAGTGGAGCTGGGACAAGAGCCAGTGAAGTCACGGCCACAGAAGACAACTCTGCACTCAGCCCCACATGGGCCCACCCACCAGCCAGCACTAAGGTCTCACAAAAGGTCATGTACACCCTGCCGGCCTGCTGCCATGACCTCCAGGCCGCAAGACTTGGCCACCCAGTCTCCCCAAGGGGCCCGGGAGGGCAGAGACGGAAGCACGTCTCCAGTGCAGGGCGACGGGCCCCTGCAGAGGGCCAGGCTGGACTGGAAGGCTCAGAAATTGTATGGGCCTTCACACGGCCACTCAGGATGGGCCGCCTAGCACCTAAGACGTCCTTCCTCAATGCTGCTGGAGAAAGAGGACCCATTCTCAGGGAGGTTTGTGGCTGAATCCACCGAACCCCTGAGACGTGCCATCCACAGCACTGGCCACACCAGGTGTGATTCCCACTTAGTGAGTGCAGAGATCGCTCAGACAGGAGCTTTGGAGGGGTCGCTGGCACTGGCCGAGGGCAGGGAGGGGGACGCAAAACACGAAAGCCCAGCTTTGTACACCCAAGGTGTTTGATGAACAAATCACTGTAGAAGGTAAAAACTTCATTTTAATACACCAGCACGGCTTTCCTTAACTTATTTTTCCCTGAATGTCCACTGAGGGAAAATGTGTAAGTCCCTCTCTGGAAGGCCAGACGCACAGCGGGGGCGGGGAACAGTGCTGCTCCAGGAAGGTGGGCCCATCCCATACTCCTCCTGCAGCCTGATGTGATGTTTTTTCCCCAAGAGTCACGTCCAAGAAAGAATGGTGCTCATATGGCTAGAGAAGCAGGTGTCCACACTGGGCGCTGGCAATATTGGCCACTCTTACGGTCCCAGGGACCCATGGGGCCAGGTTCAGGAGCCCTCCCACCACCTGTTCTGAATGAGTCGTCCGGGCAAGAGAAGGATTCATGTCGAGGGGACAGCACACGGCTTGGCGCTCACCAGGCCCTGCCTCAGCCCCGCCCCTGTCCCGTGGGGGGCTGTCCCCCAGCCCGTGCAGAGGTCCCCGCTCGCTCCCTTGCAGGGCATGTGGCTGCACTCCAAATCCCCGCGACGGGGACTTGATTAAAACACAGAAAACACATCATCTGAGATTGTCACTGCACCCAGGTGGGGAGGGGGCACCAAAAAAGACTCATTTGCAAGGCCTGGCACAGGCGTCTCTGCCCCTCTGTGGACAAGTCATCTTCACTCAACGCTGCCCCAAGGCTGATGAGGGTGCGACGCCCCTGGACTGGGCGGCAGAAAGAGTGGCGGTACACCAGGACAGGCTGGAGCCAGGCCGTGTCCGCACTTGCGGAAAGACCCCTGGGGGAGAGAAGAGCTTTGGAGGGAGTTGGGGAATGATGTGTTTTCACACAAGGAAGACTCTGTTGCTTACTGCGAATCAAGATTTGGGTTACAGTTCTTCACAGGCCCTTTGTCCTACAAGGGTGCCAACCCTCCCAGTTGGCCACATTTCTGGACCCAGACTAAGTCCTCATTTTCCTTTTGGCAGCCCTGACCGTCAGCTTTGTGGGAATAAAGGGCTACTAAGTGCATGTGGTTGCGTCCAGGCCTCTAAAACCAACCAGCCCTCAAACTGGAAAGTCATGAAAACTGATCCATTAGACAAGCAAGTAGAACTAGAAAAGAAAACAGGAGAAAGGACATGAGATGGTAAAAGAAGGGAGGAAGGAAGGAGAGAAGAGGAGGCTGGGGGAGGTCTCACTGGACCCCTGCAGCTGGGCACAGAGGATGATGGGTACACCTGGGAGGCTGCCAGGGGAGCTGAGCCCCAGCATATGCTTGTGTCAAAACCGTTAATTCCCGGAAAGATGCTTCGAGTCGTGAGTCCTGCCCAGCCTTGTCTGCGGGAACGGAAGGCCTCCTTGGTAAAATGGGCCATGACACGCTTCTCTGACTGCTCGGACCAGGCAGCCCTCCCCAGAGCCACGAAGACGAGGCTGGCAATCCCGGGACTCACTGAGAGACCTGGCGCTTCCTGCCCTGTTTCTCGGTCAGCTTGGGTCCCCGGGAGCCTCAGCAGCAATGGCTCCTCGTCTCAGAGGCGCCAGAGCCCCGGCCCCTCTCTGGCCCTTGAACAGAGTGCGCCAGAGAAAGCGGCCTGGATTCAGGGCCCCAGGGAGGGAGGAAAACCTGGGAGAGGGGTGGGACCTCCCTCCACAGCCTCCGTCCAGCCTGGGAGCCCAGGACCAGTGCTGCATGGCTCAGGGTCACACCAGCTGTGATGTCACAGCTCAGCTGAGGGCACCAAAACCAAAGGCAATCTCAGCCCCCAACTCCAGCCCCAGGAGGACCCTGAGAGCTCGGAGGCCTTCAGGTGCTTGCACCTCATCTGGGCAGGACAGTCGAGCAGGACAGCCAGTGCCGCAGGGCTGCCCTGCCCGTGTGTTAGGTGTGGGAGGAGCAGAAGCAGAGAGTGGAGCTCAGGAAAAAGAGCGGGTGAGCATGGGGGAGAGGCGTGTCTGGGAAGGCACCAGGGGCCACGACAGAAGGAGATGAAGGGGCTGCAGGAGAAGGCAAGAGTTTTCTCTGCCACCATCGGCACCCGTCCACTGAGCAATAGCTGCACAGCCTGCAGCCCTCGGAGCCTTGGGGAGACTTGCAAGCCAAGGTCAAGTCTCGGCTTCTCTCACACCTCAAGGGCAGCGAGGAAAGCAGGCCCAGACAGCCCCGTCGGGGTCCTCAGGAGAAGGAGAGGACAGGCTGGGCTACCAGGAGCCAGAGGCAAGTCCTACCCCACCTCGGCCCTCAGAGAGGCTGGCAGGGCCAAGGGCAGCAGGCGAGCCTCCCAAGGGAGCAGGCAGAAGCAGAACTCAGAGCAGGGGCACAGGCAGCAGTGGCGGAAGCCCCAGCCAAGTAGAATCAGCCCCTCCACGGCCCTGCCTCTCTGCCCCCTGGCCCCGTGCCTCTGGCTGGGGCCACCTGGTGCTGGAGCCCTGGAGAAGGCTGATTTTGGCTGGCACCTCATGCAAGGAGAGAGCAGAGCAAGGAAGCCGCCCAAGAGGTGGGAGGCCAGGAGGGCAGACATACTTGAGGTCAGCAGAATGGGCAGCCATGAGGTTTCTGAGGCTCTTGTCAGCAAGAGGGCAACCAGAGAGGCTGAAAGAGAAGAGATGGGATATGGGGTGAGCAAAGAGGGGGAGCAGAGGTGGAGAGGAGGAAGACCCACCACGCAGCACCCAGGCCAGGCCAGACCTAAGCGGGGCACGAACCTGCGGTGGGAGGCATAGTTCCCGGTGATGTGGCCACTGCCGTCACAGCCGGGGGTGGGACAGCTGGACAAAGGAAAGAGACCGTCAAGACAGAAAGCAAGGCACACCAGCCAGGCCTGCCCCCGGCTGAGCCCATGCGGGGAGGGGGCTGGCCCTGCTCCTGGCTCACCTCAGAGGACAGCCCTGACCTCTCCAACTGCAAATTTCTCCCGCACAACTTAACTCAGAAGGAAAAGGGAACCAAATTCATGCTCAGCTTGAAGTCAGGGTGCCTCTGAAGCGCACGTGCTGCACAGGCACACGTGTGCAGGGAGCCCCTTCCTGAGGTGGCAAGGCCTGCCCTGAGAACAAGGCCCCAGACCTGAGACTGAATCGGCCATTCTGGGGAGGCCAGCTACGGGGCCGGAGGAATCTGGTGAGGTTCAGGGTGAGAACCCCAGGATCAAAGTCTGAGCGTAGGTGAGGGCTGGATCACCTGAGGTGCGGGTGCCAGATGTGGCCTCTCTCAGTCCCCTGGGAGAGGCCGTTCTCAGTGGGGACTGACCAGAGGCTACGGGATGGCGGACACTACCAGCCACCTCCCCACTCTCCGGGGACATCTGGTTAAACCCAGGGCACTCAGTCCTAAGGCAGAGCACACCTCGGGCCTGGGCTCTGCGGGTCGGAACGGGGTCTCGTCCTCATTGTCCAGCACCCTAAAGGAGCGTGCTAGAGCCCAGCATGGGGCAGAGCTGACAGGAAACCCTTCACCCATTCTGGCTCAGGACAGTCCCAGTGGAGGATGCCCAGCCTCTGCCCTCCAAGGTGGTCAGGCCAGGAGGAAGGGCAGAGCTGGGCCGGGAGGGGGAGGGCCCGGTCATTCCGGCTCCCACCAGGACGCTCTCCTGTCCAGGCCATGGAGGTTCCCCACGGAGTCCTGTCAGCCAAGGTGGGGACTTACGTGAGCAGCTCCTTCTTTATGTCCTTGGAGAGAAACTTCAGCTTAAAGTTGGTCAGGGTGACCTCCCCAGGGTACTTCCGCTCCTCAAAAGTCTCTTCCGACACTTCCTGGTCATCTGCTTCAGAAGAAGCAAAAGAATGGGCTGCTGGCTCTGACTGCAAAAAACCAGCAGGGAGACGTTTTAACCAGCTGGCGGGGCCGGGCGCCCGGCCCGGGGCGGAGGGAGAGGGACCCTTCAGAACAGCGTCCACAGAGCATTTTCTGGAGGCTCCCATCCTCTGGACAAGGAGGGGAAGAATTACCCACCCCCAGACACAGGAAGCAGTGCCCTGAGCAGCCGGAGTACCCCCACCTCAGCCGCGGCTCCTGAGCGGCCTCAGGAACCAGGAGGCCTGGGTGCTGCCCGGGCGGCTGCCCCTGATCCACGGGCATGAGGTCACCTCCAACTGACCGCCCTGGGCCACCTTCTAAACACAAATGTGTACACAGAGTTCAGCCCCTCCAGGGCCCGGGAGGCCCTCAGTAGACAGGGGGCCCAAGTACGGGGTTTCCTGAAATGCAACGATGAGGGGTTGGCGCAAGGCACAAAGTATGATCAAACTAATCACAGTGACCTTGGGGCCACCTGGCCCTTTGGCCCCCACCCAGCATGATGACCTGACTGCATCAGGCACTTAATAAGCACTTTGACCTCAAATGTGGGATCTGGAGGTGTTCAATCGCCATCCAAGGGCAGGTGCTCTGGACACAGAGGGATCAAGGATAGTCCCTCCGTCCAGGGGCAAGGATGGGGAGTCCTCAGAGGTGGGGAGGTCAGCGCCAGCCCTGCAGGTCAGCCTGTAACAGGCAGCCAGCCCCCTGTGGCGGCTCACGGTTCAAACCCAAGTGCTGGTGCTCGCTGTGTCTAGGCAAGCCGTCCAACCTCCCTCACTTTCAAACTTGAGGTAACAGCAGCCCCTCCCAGGACATCAGGGGATGGGGTGAGGGGAGGCCCTGAAGCACCATGAGGGTCTCAATAAACCAGAGCATCTTGCTGATATTGTACCGTGACTGTCACTGAACGTGGCCCAGGGAAAGGGACTCCTTCGCCTGAGCGAGACGGAGGACACTCCTCAACTTAAGCTGAGTCTTCAGGATAAATGGGGGGGGGAGGGGCACGTCCCAGAGGCCCGTGGACTCAGGGTCCTAGGGTGTTTGGGGAGCAGTGAGGGGGGCTGCTGCCAGAGTCAGGTGAGAGGTGAGGCAAAAGAGCCAGGGCAGCAGCTTTGCCCGGGATGGGTCAGGGAGCCTCGAGCAGGGCTAGGAGAGTCTGAGTCAAGAGTCCAGGGTCGTGGCAGAGGCAATGGGAAGGCCTGATCCAGGAGGCATTTCTGGGTGTGATCCAACAGGACGTGAGCACCTGTACCCAGGAGAAGGAGCTGGAGGAGAGGACGGGTCTGGGGATGGGCTGGGGCTTCCTGCTGGAAAGCAGAATGTCGACCATGGGACAGAGGGGTGGGCTTCCATGGCCGGGGACCACCCCACAGATAGTCGTGACAGTCCTGGGAGGGGACAAGGATGCTCAGAGGGCCTGTGAATGGACAAGGGTGGGGGGCCAGGGGGCGGATACAAAGTGCCAAGAGAGACCAGCCTGCGCTGGGAGTCAAGGAAAGGGACAGGGAAAGGGATGTAGCCAATGGAGGGGCCGAGGAGGGGTAAGGTCACAGGGCAGGAATGGAACAAGGATAAGAGCAGATCTGGGGACCCTGCCCTGGTGGCCCTGAACAGGAGAGTCCCACCAGGCCCCAGACCGGACTCCTACCAACCAGGGAGATAGCGTCCTGCCAGCCCCAGGAGACACCTGCGGCCGGCTGCCCTCCGCTGCGGGCTCACTCTGACAGGTGCCCCTCTTCTGAGGCTGCAGCCATGTGACTGAGCCATGACCTCACCCGGGGCCCAGTCTGCCCTCTGTAAAGTGGGGGTGAATGCGAAGCCAGTAGACAGAGGTAACCTGGCTGACCCAGACAGAACTGTGGAGGTGCCAAGTTCTCAGGGAGGAATCCTCACACCGCCCACCTCCTCCTTCACAGGGACCTGCCCCGCCCCGCCCCCCTGGGCCACAGGGTCCTGCCTTCCTCCACAGGGACCTGCCACCCCTCCTGGGGGTGTGGGCTGGCAGGGAGCGGCAGGTGGGTAGGGCACCCACAGACCTGCCCAAACTGTGTGGAAGCTGCCTGGAGCCGTGCGGTCCTCAGAGCTGGCCTGTCTTGTTCAGGAGGCTCCCCTCCCCGGGGGGAAAGCCCTCAACAGCCCGCATCCACAGCGGGTGGAGGGACTGGGAAGGAAGGGCCCACTGCCCCCAGGCTCCAGGGCCTGGCCTGTTGCTCTCCACTACGTAGTTGCCCTCTTGGGACTCAGGCTGCTGGCCACCCAGGGGCTCCTGAGGCCAGGAGTTTCCTCCTGCATCTGTCCAAGGAGCCAGGTGGCCTGGAGTATCCTGAGGACGGTGTGAAGGGGCTGCTGCCAGAGTACGGTGTATTCCTGATCTGGACGGCAAGCTGCAGGCAGGCCCACAAAACCAAGGAATTCAGAACCATTCCCAAACCCTCCCTCATGGGATTTGAGTAAAAGCCCTTCTGCTCTGCGTGCCCCCAGAGAGCCTGTGCTGGTGCTGACCACCAAGTCTGCAGAGGTGAGAAGACCACCTCTCTCGGAGGGGGCAAGGCCCAGCGGTGAAAACCGCCCCAGGAGGGTGGCGTGAGTCCTGGCTGCTCAGGGCTGCAGGGACAGGACCTGGGGAGACTCTGCCTGGAGGAGCGACCACATTTACACCAGCCCTCAGGCCAGCAGGCCAACCTGCATCACCCGCTCATCTGCTAGCTTGGACCCCAGCACCCACCTCCTCAGGCTCCTCCTCTCGCTGGCGGCTGGGCTTCGTGTAGTCCAGAGGCCGGTCCCACTCGTCCTGGCGGGAGGCGTGGCTGGATGGGGGGGAGGTGATGGAGCTGCTGGGGGCGCTGGTGCTGCTCTGGCGCTGGGAGGCCTCTGGTGACTTCACGCCGGGGCTGCCACCACCGCCAGGGAAGGCGTTTTCCCGCTTGCGGTGCTTGTGCATGCTCAAGTCCAGGGTTCCGTTCTCATCCACCTCGATGTCCACAGCCTGCGTTGAAAGGCGAGATCTGTGGCAGAGCCCACCCTCCCATGCTGAATACCACTCCTTGGCTTTCAGAAGCCAGAACAGTGTCTCCCTCCAAAGGAAGCAGAACCAAACAAGAACAGAAGAGTCTCTGAGAAGAGAGAGGCCTGAAACTCGCACAGACTAGACTCGACTCACTCCCTCGAGTTTCCCAATGCTATAACCAGACCCTGGAGAAGAGAAGGCCATTCGTGTGGTCACAAGAAGGTGTGCAGGACCCTCAGACTCGGGGGACAGTTGAGAACACACGAGTGTACAGCCGCTTGGCACCCCCAGCACACAGAGCACACAGAGCTCGGGGGGTGCCCATCCAACGTCTCTGGTCAGTGTCTTTGGTCAGCGGGGCGACGCCAGGAGGGAGACGAGGAAGAGGAATACCAGACACCGGGCATGCTGAGCACTCTTCACACTGCTGGCGTGGGGTCCTGACTGCAAATCCCACCCTTCCTCTGCCTGAGAAGGGCTCCTCGCAGGGGTCGCACCAACCTTGCTGGGCAGGTCCTGCGGCTTTGTGCTGAGGTTCTCAGGCATTTCCCAGCAGCGCGTGGAGAGGTTCAGGATGGCGGTGGCAGCCATGTGGGCAGCCTCTGCGTCGTGCGTGTAGTCGAAGCCTGCAGAAGAGGATGAGGCGCAGGGGCTGTGCCTGGGGGAAGAGGCCTTTGGGAAAGACTTGGCTGCAAAAAGGGAACAACACCAGGCTGACAAATGACTTGAATAGGAGGCAGCCATGCAGACACGTGGGGGCCTGGGGGGCTAGAAGCACACAGAGCACAGCCTCATGAAGGGGTGCCCACACGCCCCTCAACCCCCTGCTCTCATCAGGCATGGAGAAGGCCATTTCTGGCTTGACCAACATTTGGGAAGAAAGGGCAAAACCCTCCAAAGACTTCCTAGCGCCCCTGATAGTTCATGGAAAGCAAGTTATCTACCAGTGAGTGCTTACTGAGAGACTGCAGGAGTGTGCAGACAGGATGAGTACTTGGAATGCCACTCAAGGAGGAAAGTTTTGTCACAGTATCTCAGACGGATGACTCTGGTGTCCCCCCCAGCAGTCACAGCTTTAATAAGGAGCATTATTGTTCAAGTAACCATGACAAAAGAAGGCATAATATGTTCTCTTTTCTAGTAATTGTGCTGCAGAGATCAGATCACTCTCAGGTCTGACTTCTTGCTCCAGTGTAAGTGGGCAACTTGGTGAAGGCATGAAGCCCCCAGTCCTAACAGGTTGATGAGATGCTCCCACTCCAGCCAGCGATCGTTTCAATCAGTTTCTATTATTAACGATTTGGGCATCCACCAGGAGATGCCAGTTCCAATCTCATGGTCACCAGGGGTGCTTTTCCATTTCACATTCCAGGTGCATTTCCAGGGTTAACGGGCTCGCAACCCACAAATTAGTACAATAAGTGACAAAAAACGGATGGGGTGCTTGTTCTCAAAGGTTTTTAGGAATGAATTTTGTTAGTGTAAGCACCCAGAAACTTTGTTGCTAAAATCACAAATAGCACACTGTATCCAGCAAGATGGTCCCCACGTAGGAAGGGCCTGTCAGGTACCCAGCTCAGCACAGCAGTTGTCTGACCCTCCCCAGACCCCACCCCTTGAGCTGAGTAAACTGGCTGGGAAGGGGGGCCAGAAGAGGGCACTCTCTCCCAGTGAGCCAGGTCAAGGAAGCTGTTCTTAAGCCTTTGGACACGACACCATAATGGACCTGGGTTTTGTTTCACGTATAGTGAGGAGATAAATCAAGTTTGATGGTGGACATGGAGGCGGCAACGTCGGTGAGACACAGACCCTGAGAAAGCTCCCACGACGGATGCCAGGGATGTTAGGGCCTGGGCTACAGTCCCATCCCATTGGTACCCCCAGGGTGGAGATTCCTACATGCTCCTGGTTGGGGGGTGGGGCTCCTCCTCCACTGCCCCTCAGACCCTACACCTCCCAGAAGCAGTTTTCCCCAACTTACATTTAAAGGCTTTAGGTGAGGTTTCGCTGGTCTGAATCTTTGGGGCAAGCATGCGCTTGCCAAAAACCTGAGCATCAAAACTTGCGTAGTCGAAGGTGACCTTGGAGAACTTCTCCAGCTCCTTGGCCAGGTTGGCCCTGGGTGTGGCAGGGGCCACGCTGGGCCGATAGCTTCCATATGGAGGGACCTCAAGCTGCTTCACGAAGCACATGGGCCTGGGGTGCAGGGCAGAGACCTGTGAGGACAGGCTCCAGTGGCCTTGCACTACCCACCCCCAGGGCCCCATCCCACAGCCTGGACAAGCCACCCCTCAGAGCCCAGCGTGGACAGAGACCCAGGGAGCCCCTCCTCATGTCCACCCCCAAAGGGTGTCTGGGTCTGCTCTGCAGGAAGGGTTGCCAGCAGGGAGGAAGCACTGGGACACTTGGAGAAACAAGCGTTATGTCCCCTTGAGCACAGCGTCAGCTGGAGGAGGGAAGTCGGAGAGCAGGTCTCAAGCAGCTCAGTGACAACAAGCACGAGTCCCTGGCAGGGAGCCCCACAGGAGCACTGCTGGGCGGGGGCCAAGGCAGAGCTCTGCAGCTCCCCAGGGCGGAGGGAGCAGGGCACCCAGAGGCAGGCCACTCAGCCCTTCACAGGGGGACCTTGTCCTCCCCTGCCTCCTGCTTGAAGTTGGTTGAGATGCCCCTGGAGGGGGCTGCTGCAAGGGTGAAGGACAGGCCGGAAAGGACCGCCATAAGCACTCAGTTCATTGTCACCAAAGCACTTGGAAATGTTCAGAGTTTTAAATGAGCAGGAGACACCATGAAGACAGTGTCCCAGACAGCACAGGAGCCGGGGCAGGAAGGCCAGCGCCGCAGCAAGGCCATGGGCTTCTGTGCTTTCCATGGAGGAAGGGGCTTGTATATCGTCCGCTCAGAGAGAAGGAAAAGAGAGGAGGGGCCTGGAGAGCCAGGTGGTGACTTCATCTGGAAAGGGTGGGTCAGTGGAACCCAGAAGGGGCCAGTGTAGGACCCCAGGTGCTGGGCACTGAAGACCTGAATGTGGCCTGGAAATTGGGGACTGGTGACAGGAAGATGCTGTAGCCACGGTAAGGCCAGCTCTGAAGGCCTTGGGAAACCAGCACCACCAGAGTATGAGCAGAAGGGCTGAGGACTCTCCGCACCGGCCAGCAGCATCTGAAGAAGATGCTGGAGAGCACCAGGGACCCCGGGGGAAGCAAATCCTAAACTTAACATCAGGACCACATTTTGGTGGCTTCAGCCAGCAGCACAGACTTACTGTCTGTGATGCCAGCAAAGCTTTTTGAAGACTCTCTCCACACCCCAGGATGCAACACTCAGAAACACGGCCCCATGGACCAGACAGAGCCCGAATGGAAGGCTCCTGCATCCGGGCCCCAGTTGCTACCACCCCGGGCTCCTCGCTGAGGGTCCAGGAGGCAATAATGCCACTGCCTCATTCACACCTCATGACAAACTTCTGAAGTCGATAACACTGCTGTCCCACTTGTACTGGCAAACAGACTGAAGTGGAACTCCCGAGGCACAATCTCCATGTTTGGAACCTGTTTGGCCTCCACCCTGGCCTCACCAAGCCTTACCTGCCTGTGGTTTGACATTTTATCAGTAACTTGGATCAAGGCAAGAAAATTGACAAGAAGCTGGAAGGACCAGTAATAACTTGGAGGAAAGGTGCTGCTTCCAGTCATCACGAGAGCTACCCAGTAGAAATAAGCCAACTCGAGCGCAGGACTGAAGGCGCCCACGGACCAGCCTGCAAGAGCTCGCCCGCCCAGGTGGGAGGGTGAAGCCCCTGCCCTACCCAGAGACCCCTCTCGCGGAACTCAGAGCAGGCCAAGTGGGCGTCCCAGCTTCTCTGGCTGAGGTTGTGCCCAGAAAGGGACAGGCCGGTGACGGGGTTGGAGGTGGTTCCTGAGCCTCTGGCCTTATTTGTGGCACTCACAGGGTCACTTGGCTGGAGGTCACACTAAGCAGATTCTTTCTTAATGGTCTACGCACACATATACAGATTCACACACAGGCATGCGTGCTTGCACACACACTCACATACATGGACATGCACCTAAACACTTGCACACGCGCACACACACTTGCCCACTGCTGTCTCAGCACCTCAGGGGCCACAAGGGGGCAGCACTCTGGAGAGCACCGTCTACACTGGCTCCTCTCCTGAGTTCAGGGTCCATCCTTGGGGTAAGGGAGGTGGAGGCAGGACAGCCAGGGAGGAGTGGCTCCCAGGGCTCCCTGGACGGTGGTGACCCTCAGCTGACGCAGCCTGCTCTCTCCAAACTGGGCCAGCATCTCCGCAAATATCCCTGAGCAGTCCAAAGCAATGAGATCAGACACCCTCGGGGAGAGAAAGACAGGGGCAGAGGCACTGGACAATGCAGTGGACACAAGACTCTGTCCTGTGTGCCCCGAAACCACCCTCCAGCTCTGCCCTGGGAGCCTCCAGGGCAACTCAGGGCACGAGCACACACACAACACAAGCAGGGACACTCACATGCACATGTGCACACGCAGCCCTGTGGACACTTCAGGAGGCAGCCCCTGACACCAAGCAGGACCCTACGGGTCCTTCCTGTTACGAAAAACCCTCCACGTCCCCTGTTTCTTGTCTTCAAGTGTCCTAGGCTTTCCCGGAGTTTCAAAGAGCAGGTGCAAGCAGTTAATGATCTGGACAGTAGAGTCCCAGGACTCCCAGTTCCTCCTGAAGGGCCATGGGTAACAATCTGACCCATATCTTTGAGTCGTTCTGCAGAGACTAAGAACCCTCACCCAGGGGAGGATGCTGACCATAGGCACTAGACCTCAGACTGGCTGGAACTAGAAGGCTGAGACTCCTGAAACAGCACACTGTTACCTCACAGCCAACCGACCACAGCTGATCATGCATCCCACCACCCTCCCCTCACACTGTCTTTGGAAGCCCTCGCCTGAAAGCCATTGGGAAGTTCGGGTCTTTGGAGCACAAGCCGCCTGTTCTCTTCGTTTGGGCCTGCAATAAACCTCTCTGTGCTCCAAACTCTGGCTCTGGTTTTGGTTTGTTTGGCCTCAACGCGCGTCGGACATTAGAACTTGGGCCCAGTAACACCCCTTCCAGTCTGTGGCTCGTTTTACTCACCTGAGGATCCGATCTGAATTGGAACTGCTCTTGGAAGGGTCTCCCGTCTGTGGTTGTTGCTTCTCGTGAGATTTGGCTAATTTTTCTGCAGCAGCAATGGGACACCCAGACAAACTAGAGAAAGGACAGGAGGACAGCTGAGCCCTTCCTCCAGGCAGGGGTTCCCCCAGTTCTGTCCTCGAGCCCTCAGGGTACCAGCAGCTCAGTTGGCTTCTGTTTTCAGAAATTCTAAGCCAATGACGCAAAGACAAAATGCACCCTAAAGGTCTTGCAACCTCTGGGCAAAGGCACATCCTGGGGGTGGGTCTGGACGAGGAACCTGCCTCTCGCCTCCCTCCGCTCCCCTCACCACCAACCAGATCTGCTCAGCCAACCTGGGGAGGCCCCGGGCCCCATGGCTGTGAACTGGTTGCTGACCCTGCAAGACAGGGACCAGCAGGCTCCTACCAGCAGGGCACACGCCCTCCCAGGAAAGCAGCCCGTCTGAGACATCGCGGGTGCAGCTGTCAGAACTGAATGACTGCCTGAGAGGAGAGAGGCCTGGAGAGGTGACGTCATCACAGAAGCGTTGGGGAATTTAGCCTCTTCTCCAAAATTCTTAAAGCCGTCTTGGCTGAGCGTGTGCCCGCTGGCGCAGAGGCCCTCCCGTCCCAGCTGCAGCTATCCAGGCACCCCGGGAGTGGGGGGGACACACGAACCTCTCCCCGTGGAAGGCAGCAGACAACGGAACCCTGGAAGCCGCACTTCTCCCAGGCTCTCAGCTCCCACGGAGCAGCCTGCTGAGCTAGCGCTAGTGTCCAGAGCGGTCCTGAACATCGGCAGGACGCCACCTCCACCTGGCTCTGCACCGCGCCACACCCTCCGGACCCCCTCCGGTCTCTCGGGACCCCCTCTCAGGGACACAGGCAGTGGGACCACCCGGTGACCGCACATCTGGGCGCCACTCTGCCCCACCACACGCCTGCCCCGGCCTCGCACTGGCCCTCGAGGCGGCCCCAGCCGAGGGGCACCCTGCAGGCCCCACCGCCACCCTCACCACGCATTTGGCCCGGTACCTCCTGTGGGTGTTGCGGTTGCTGTTGACGTGGCCCTGGCCGGTGCAGCCGGGGGTGGGGCACTTGAGCACGTTCTCGTGCATGGCCAAGACTGCGAGGAAACAGGGAGGGGGTGGTGAGCACAGCCCAGGCTCAGCTCAGGCAAGGCCCCTCTCCCCCCGAGGCCCCCTGCCTCCCTGAGACAGAAAGCGGCTCAGCCTTAAAACCTCCGGCTGCTCTGAGAGTCACTCCCCTGAACGGAACGTCCACAATCACTGCCCCTCGCCCAGAGGTGAGGACAGGCTTTCTCCTCCTGAGCCTTCGGAACAGACATAGGCCCCCCCCCAGCTCCAGGACCCAGCCCCCCAGCGAGCCTGCGGCGCTCTTCCAGGGCCCTGTCCAGGCTGCGTGGATGGTGTCCCAACACTCGTGGGGTCGGGTTTGGGCTTCTGGACAGGGCCGTGGGCGGCCACTCCCATATGTGGGCACCACCCACACAGCAGAGGCAGCCTGAGCGGACAGAGCTACTCACTCTCTGGGGGGATCCGGTCCTTGTGGGGACAACCAGATAGGCTGCGGTGGTGCGGGTACAGCCCCGTGACGTGGCCAGTGCCATCACAGCCTGGCGTCGGACACTTGATCTCACGCTTCTCAGCTCTTGAGGGATCTAAACACATAAGACTGTCAAAGGACAGCCGGGAGGGGAGCAGGGTCGGGGGTGGCAAGCAGGGCACGGGCAGAACATCTCCTGGCCCTTCACTCTGGCTGTCCAGAGAGGAGAGTGGCCAGACTGCCTAAGAGCCTGAGAGGGACCAGGGGCTGGATGGCGAGGGGACGCTGGAGAAACTGCCCACACCGGTGGTCTGGGGTAAGAAGCCCACAGACTGTGGAAACCCACAAACAGCAGGACATGCCAGGCGGAGGGGTGGGGGAACCACCCGATCAGCAGCTGATGTCCTCTGCCCTCTTCCCGCTGAAATTACGCGAGGTCCCCTGGCTTCGGGGTGGGGGACAGGCCTCCACACAGAGAGGTGAAAGTTTGTGACAAGTCCCTGCCAGGACACAGCCTTTGAGCTGACAAAAGAGGGGAACAAGGAGCCAAGTAACTTCCCCAAAGCACTTAACAAATGCCTGGGCAGAAATTTAAATCCAAGTCTCAGTCACTAGGCGCATCTGGCCTCTGCAGGCCCAGAGAGGTCGCTATGAGCGTGGGGGCAGAGGGAACACCTGTCAGGACACAGATGGTCCCCAGAGCACAGCTGTGCCCTTTGGGAGAACGCAGAGGTCACAGACCACGCTCAGAATGCCCACTAGGGGAGGACAGGATCCTGGGATGGGATGGGGGGCTCTGCCTCTGATTCAAAAGGGGGGATTTGCACCTCCACCAGCAGGCAGGCAGGCAGGGACACCCCGAGGGGCCCCCAAGTCTCTCCCCAGGGCTGGCTTCCTGAGCTCATGACTGTTGTCGCTGGCCTTTGTCCAGGACTTGCGCTCCATCCACGCCAAGGGTCATTCCCTTAGAACCAGCCGCGGTCCTCACAGCACGGGCCTGCTCAGGGCTGCCCAGGTCTCCCAGCTTGGCCTCCTGCCTCTAAGGGTCTGTCCCCTGGGTCCACGCCCTTAACTCTATGCCTTAAGGCAGGACCTCTGAGACCCCACAGGTCTGTGGCCCCAAACACTCGGGATGGGACCCGTCACTCTGTCTGTGTTCACGCGTATCCCCGTTACACCTCTCCGCTCCCCGACAGCATCCCATCAACATTGGCCCTGATCTCTAGGCCCCAAGACTGCTGCCCCCAGGCTGACACCCGACACAGGCCCAGCACTTGTTCCCGAATCTGTGCCCCCTTCATCTCCTAGAGTCCATGTCCTCCCAAGGCCTGTGCTGGTCTCATCGGAGCCCCCAGACAGCTATCCCCCAAGTCTGTGCCACCCTGAGAGGGTACCTTATTGATAGCTGTCCTCCACGTCCCTGAGTATCTGCCCCCAAGCCCACCCCACGTGAGTGAGTGTCCCCAGAACACCTGTGCCCTTTGTCTCCACCTACCACCAACTGTGACCGCGGAGCTACAGCTCACTCAAGGCCCCCTCAACCCAGGTGCGCATCCCCAGGCTGAGCTCGCTGTCCCTAGAACCCTCCTCGTCCCCCGGCCTGGCTTCCCTCAGCTGTGTGTCTCCAGACCACCCTGTGTGAACAGGCGAGCCCGTTTCCTCAGCATCGATGACCCCCGTCTGCCATGTGCGTATTTGTCCCCCCGTCTGCTTCGGTCTGGCCCACACCACCCCCACCACCCCACCTGCTGCCTAGCCTGTAGAGGCCTCAGGACTGTGGTCCCTGGAGGCAGGGGGAGCGTGAGCAAGCAGGGTCAGTATGAGCAGCCTACCTTTGCTGCAGTAGTTCTTTCGCACGCCATCTGGGGGCCTGGCCACCTTCCCTGGCTCCCCTGGACCCAGCGGGCCTTGCTCCGCGGCTGGGCAGCCCGGCTCACAGATAGCCCGCACCTGCTCTGCCTTCAGGGCGATGGCCTGCTCCAGGAGGCCCAGGTTCCCGCGGGTCATCATGTCATACATCTCCGACTCGTCCGTGACCGTGGACTTCTGGGAGCGCGAGTCCTCGTCCGAGTGCACCTCCACTATGACAGAGCGCTCAGGCGTGGGACTGGGAGGTGATGGGTGCTGGGGCTCAGGGGCCTTTGGGGTGGGGGTGCAGGGGGGGTCCTCTTGACAGATCAGGTCTGGGGGGGCCTCCTCGTCCTCATCCAACTCCTCGTCCTCCTCCTCCTCATCTTCCTCTTCCTCCTCCTCCTCCTCCTCCTCCTCCTCTTCCTCCTCGTTACTCAGGCCCACTTTCTGCTTGCTGGGCTCCTCACTGACCACACCCTCCAGGGACTGGGGACACAGCTCCTGGGAGCGCTCGCTGGTGACTTCGATGACCTCCTCGGCATCCTCCGGTTGGATAAAGACGTCCTTCTCCCCCGCGTCACTGGTAGCCCTTTCCTCAGCCTCCTCCTCGCGCACGGAGCCGGGGCCTGGCTGGGCCGCCTGGCCAGAGCCTTCCCCAACCAGGGTCTCTTCAGCGATTTGGCCCAAATTTAGGAGTGAAGTTGCAATGATTTCCTGATAGCTGCTGTAGCTGCCCTTGGAGGAGCCCGTGGGGCTGCTGATGGGATTGGACCCGAAATGAGCCTTGACAGGGCTCTTTCCTGCACAGAACCAGAGACACCAGGTGGGAGGGGCACAGGAGGAGGGAGGACAGGGCTCCAGGCCTCTGATTCCTGCACTCTGCCCACCGCAGCAGGAACAGAAACCCCTGGGGGTGGGTTCAGCATGGGCATCTGTGTCTGTCAGCCCCTCTGCCTGGATCTTGAGATCACGGTGAGCCTACTTTAGGAGGTAGATGGAGTAACTGTTGCTGTATTTCTGAAACTAGGAATTGCTCTGCTATTGTTGATTAAAGGTCCTCCCTGTTACGCGCACTTTCTTAAAACAGGCAAACTTGCACTTCATACAACGGAGCCTAAGGGTTAGGGATACGTCAGGGTTTTAGAAGCTGTTTCATAACTCAGAAGCAGTGGAATTTGTTTTAAAGGTTAGGTCTTTCAACTGCCAGGACTAAGCTGCAGGCGTGCTCCCCACACGCAGGTGCCCTGGAGCGCCAACAAGGCCCCCAGGGCACAGGAGCAGCCCTCTCCGCTCCGCCCCCGTCTGGCCATTCCCAGAGGTGCACCAGGGCCAGCCCCAGGGCCATGAACGCTGCCCGGTTTGGCTCAAAATAAAAAATAAAAACCCTGCAAAGTCAGAAAACACGAGAAGCTTGGAAGTGTTGGGGTGGGGTTGGACCTCGGGCCTCAGTCCCACCCTCAGGACTCTACGGTCTGCCGAGGTCTCAGGGGACACGGCTACTTCCCACCTTCACACTAGTGTTTGCCAAGGGCTGAGGGTCCCAACCTGGCCAGTCTTGGGGGCCAAGCAGGGGAGGAGGTGTGAGAAGGGAGACCCGTCAGTTCCCCTCCGCCCCAGCTTCCCTGGACATCCCCCACAGTCTCCCCGTTTCCAAACAGACCCCTCGCACAGCCCCAGGCGGCTCTCCTGAAGCCGGGTCCGGCAGGGCCTGTCTGAAATCCCCACACACACAGCCCACGTCCACCTGTTCATCTGTCTCTGACGCGCACGCAGACACACATCCACAGAACACAGTGTTCACACACAGATGAGCCCTGGGCCCGCCGGCCCCCGCGCCGGCCCCTCCCCAGGAAGCCCCGCAAAGTCGCACAAGAGTCGCTTGTTCTCAGCAAGGGCCTTCCCGCTCGCAGGCGCTGCCCCTTCACAGGCTGCAATTCTCCAGGGCCACACTAAGCCTTTATTTGGAGGAGAAAGAGCGACACAGCACCTTCAGCTGGCTCGGGGCGATGACTCTCCTCCGGTCCTGACGTCTCCGCCTCGTCCTCCTCCGCAGTTCCTTCCGATTCATCCCAAACAGAGGCGTCCTTCACCTCAGCATCCTCACTGCCGTCGCTGTCCACGCCGTAGCCCTCGTCCAGCGCCAGCTTCAGGGGGTGCGCCTTCCGCTTGGACCCCAGGTGCCCAGCCTCAGCACCCTCCAGCTTCCTCTTCTTGGCCAGAGGGCAGCTCTGCAAACTGGGGGGGACAGGGCCGGGCTGCCCCGTCAGCACCTCCCGGGGCCCTCCCTCCTGCCCTCACCCTCTGCAGCCGCCTTCCCTGCTGGGAAAGTTCTCTCCGCCTCTCGTCACTGCCCCGAAGCCCAAAGCCCCTGACTCATGCCTGGCAGGTTGATGTGTTCAAAATTTTACATTAATTGTCCACATTAAAAAGCACCTGATTGGGCTTGAAATTTCACTTCCTGCTTGTCTCAGAAGACCTCAGTGGGCCCCGTCCATGCAGAGTCACTCCCCCAGGGTGGCTGGGGTCGGGGGGCGGCCCAGGCTGTTGACTCCATGCCCTGGTCAGACCCTGCCTACTTCCCCACAAGCAAGCCCGGAGCACCTGGGCCCTTCCTTCTCCACCTGCAGACTCTTCCCACCCTCACCCATCCTCTGAACCTGGTGCTGCACACGGGGGCCCGAGGGCATGCTGACCCCTGGAGTAACAACAGTTGGAGCCCAGGGGCAGCTCAGCCAGGCACCACAGTGTGTGCTGGGTCTGCTCTGAGCATTCCCATGTGGACTCTTCCGGCCTCACAGCAACCCCTATGGGGAGACTCCCAGATGGCCCTGCCTGGCCTCACGGAAATGGGGTCAAGTGCGAGGACAGCGCGGCTCAGCAGCCGAGAGCAGAGATGGAAAGATCTAGATCCACGAAAGGCCCCCAGCAGCCCTACCTCTTCCGCAGGAACCTGGTCAGAGCCACAGGCCTCCTTACCTTCGGTGCCTGGAGTACTTGCCCCGGATGTGTCCTGAGCCTGTGCATCCTGGGGTAGGACAGCTAGAGGGAGACAAGCAGGAGCCGTAACCTGGGGGAGCGGGTCTGAATCGGGGATCTCACCCCAGACCCTCACCCTGTCTCTAAACAGTTCATCTCAGAACAGCTGCTTGCAGTTTGCTAAAAATTAATGAAATAATTCACCCCATTTAAATAAATGAATGGCTCATTACAATTTCATGAGTGTGTTTAATTAAAGATCTGTATGCATGAGATCAAGACTGGACGTCTTCCTTTCTTCACGGGTGAGTCTTTCCCACTGCAGGCAAACTGCCACCAGGCTTTCAAGGGGCAGGGACCAGGACCCTCGGACGTGGCCCCAGAGCCAGCACCTGAAGCCCGAGGACAGAACACAAACACGCATTCTCCAGGCCGTCAGGCAGCTGAGAGGTCCACAGCTACTGAGGACAGAGTCTCTACAGCCCCTGCCCCCAGGCAGAAACGGCTCTGCAGACCTGCAGCTTTGGCTGGAGCCAAGGGCCCAGCTGGAGGTGGGCGTGGTTCGGCGGCAAAGACCCCACCCCAGAACCCGCACCCTACTGTGACTCCAGCTTCCTGCGGAGGCAGGTGAGGCCAGGAGGGCCCACAATCCAGGCGCTGCCGTGAGACCTGGCTGAGGGCGATGCCTGGCCTCTGGCAGCTCCCACACTGCGACAGAGGTAAGACTTCAGGAGTTCCTCTCCCCCTACCATCAACTGTCTCCCCACAGAACCAAATGGTGGTAAGTTCTGGAAACTTCTGATCACGCGCAGGGACCACTCAAACCACTTCCCTAGAAGTCAGCTCCCCAAGGGACCACGTGGGGCTCAAGGCCAGGGTCCCAGGTCGGGCCTTTGGGCACATCCATGGACCAGGACTGCGGGAAGCTGGCACCACCTCGTGTTACAGAGCGGCAGACCGATGCTGAGACGGAGAGCCTGGGGGAGAGGAGCCCAAGCTCCTCCTGGAAGGGGGCACCACAGTGCCCCCATCCAAGAAAGGATGACCCTGTGACGGGGCGGACATCATGGGGTCTGAGCTCCCCACCTCAGATCAGGCTCTCCTAGAACCCGGGAAGGAAGGGTTGTGCTGCCCCACCAACACCTGTGGCTGCCTGGGACCCCAAAAGAGGCACCACTCGGGACCTGTATCCAGACACTCCGACAGTTTCTAATCTGATTGATCATGAGCCTGACCGCAGATGACCGTGGGGTGCAGCCGGCTGGAAGGCCACACCCACCAACACGCCGACCCAACCCAACCTGCCAGGGAGGAACAGAACAGTCTGAGGACAGAGCCCGGCCCCCAGCTCCTCCCACAGCCCTCCGCAGTGGGGCCACCAGGGCTCATCCCAGGGCTGATGCTCCTGGTGTTTAGAGGAGGAGAGGAAAGCTCAGGGGCAGACGGGGCGGGGTGGGGGGAGGCTGGGGGGCAAGGGGAGGGGAGGAGGGGGAGGGGGAAGACATGCAAACGTTGCTGTCTGTTTCCTCTCCAGACCCAGAGGACTCCCTGCTGCCCACAGCCTCTCCATTCTGGAATCTACACCCCACACTTGCTGTCACTTTCTCAAGAACTAGCTTTGAGACTCTTCACAAAAGCTCCTTGTTATCGGGGATTTGAAGCTGAGGTCCCAATTAGTCGATTAATCACTGAGTTAATCAGGCAATTAGGTGCCAGCTGCTGTGGAGGCCTGTGGGGCACTGGCACTGCCCCCAAACACGTCACCTGCTCCAAGTCCCACCTCCGCCCACCAGTTCAGAGGGGTCCTGGCTTCCAGCCCCTCAGGGGCCAGAGCTGGCTAGGGCTACTCTGGGAAAGGAAGCTGGACATCCCCTGCTCCCCACAGGGTGGCCCGGAGCATCACCGACATGAGACCCAGCCCCGGTCCCAGCAGGGCAGCACCCGCAGGCTACCCTACAGGGACCCCCAGTGCTCAAATGGTTCCCTGAGTGCACGGGGCCAGAGGGCAGGGTGAGGCACAAGCCCTGGTTCTGGGCCTCTGGAGCCTCTTTCACCGTTGGGGGAGGAAGACCCAGCCAAGCCCTCCCCCGACTCACCAGCATGGCTCTGAGTGTGGCAGAGACAGGAGTAGGCAGGTAAGCTCCCCGAGGGCCTGCCCACAGGTAGCACCACGCAGGGTCCAGGTGACTGCTCTGAGGGCCCAAGACCAAGGCCAGGAGGAGCTCATCCCAGCGGGAGCCCCTGGAAGAGACTGGCTTCCCACCCCTCCGCCCCTGGAGGCAGGTAGAGGACTCCCTACTCAGGCTGACCCCTAGGCGGGAGCTGGCCGCCGGCTCAAGGAAGAAGCCCTCAGGTAAGGACAGGAGGGCAGACGTCCCTTCCAGAACCTGGAGATGTCCCAAAGACACTCCAGAGGGGTCTGCCCACTTCCTTCTGCACAGTAGGGTGGCGCCACCCCACCCCACCTAACCCGCCTCCAGTGGCTGTAGCAGCTGTGTGACAGCGGACGGGCCCGGGGGGCCAGCAGAGGTGTCTGTGGTTCTACACTGGTGCCAAGGGAAAGGCCCAGACCCACTTGTGTTACCTCAGGAATCATGTGAAAGTCAGAGCAAGACTTGAAGGGGGCCAGGGGTTGGGGGCAGCTGGGATTCCTGCCTGTTCCAGGGTGACCGCTCTCAGCTCACGCCCCACAACCACTGAGCTGAGGGCACGTGGCTGAGCTGGGGAAGGGGCAGGGGTGAGAGGCCGATGCAGCCTCTGGGACCACGGGTGTGAGTCCCTCGTCCGTGAAATGAGTCCTGCTCGGGCGGCTCCACCATGACCCTTCCTCCCTTCAGGTGGTCCGAACGGGTCCTTTGAGTCACAGCGGTGAGTTTCCTCGGTGGGTCTCAACCAGCGTTGGGTAGGCACTGGGGGCGTACGCCCACCAGGACAGGGTCTCGTCCACTTGTCTGACCACAGCCCCTGGTGTGCTGAGGGGAGGAGCCTGCAGGCAGCCTCTGCCCCTTTCCACAGCGTGAACCCTCCCACGGGCCGTACCCCACATGCACCTCGTGGACAACAGATGGTTGTGACACAGGAGTGAGGGGCACCTTCCATGTGGAGCACATGTGCTCCTTGGCACAGCCTGATCCATTTTCCTCTAAGCATTGATTCTCAAAAACTTGAAGACACTGTTTCTAGAACATGTCAATGCCTCTGTGCCCAGTTTCTCCACCAAAACTTACGGGTCTCACTCTTGCCAAGTAAACAGGTTGAGACCGCAAGATTAATGAAGGTGGACACGGTCCAGGTGCCCACGTCATCCCCGTACTTATACTATCAGGTCCTCGCTCAGAATATTTCAAAACAAATCTATTTTGAGAGTCATTTTTGCTTCAAAGCTTCGAGAGAAACCTAGCCCTTTGGGCCTGCCTTTCCAACTTCCCCCATTACTTCACCTGAGCCAAAATTAACTGCTGTTACCAAAACTCGAGTCCTGTGCACAACCTCCTTCCCCTTATTGTCCCCAAGATGTCCCCAGGTGGACGTCCCATGGAGAAGCAGCAGGCCTCCTCCTGGAAGCCTTCTCTCCACCCTGTATGCCGTGGCCTCTCTGAGCACCACGCACATCTTCTCCAGTGGTTCGCCCACAGGACCCCGCCACACAGGGAGCTCCCCACAGTGCTCTGTGGACCCGCCGTGGCCCAGCTTGGCTGCTGCCCCACCCTCACCCTCCCGCCCTGTGATTCAGCTATTCCGGCTGCATGAACTTTAACCCTCTGAGCCTCAGTTTCCCCCTTCACAAGTGAGACAATACCACCACCCGGCAGAGCTTCCGTGAGGATCCCTGAGATCAGACAGCACTGTGCAGCCACTGCAGAGCTGCCCAGTGCCCGGGGCTCTGGGCATCCCTCCTGCACGCTTCCCTTCCATCTCCAAGTTACAGCCTCAAAGGCTGGAGTTGTGCTAGAGTGATCCGGGGTCCTCTTGTTTTCCTGATTGGCAAAAGCCATCCATGCAACAGCTCTCTGGTGGAGAATGAGACGGTCCCAGCCCCGGATGTGCTCACTGTTTAGTGAGAACCGTCACCCCTAAGAATTTAGAAGCAGTAGATACCCCAGAATCATGCACTTATGTGGCCAGAGCTGTTCCAGGCCCAGGGCAGAGGGAGCATCCACCCTCAGTAACTGGACTGCTCTGTCTGTCTCCTCCCACAAGCCTGCAAGCCCACAGAAGTGTCCATCAAGATGTGGCTGTCACCCTCAACCCCTCGTGTCACCCTGACCCCACAGCGTGGGCAGAGCAGCTGTTTCCGGGCACCATGGTGTACTCAGAGTCAGAGCTGCCACAGGGGAAGGAGGGTGGGTTCCGAGCCCCTTCATTCCTCCAAGGACGAGCCTCAGGCAGGTTATCTCAACCACAGTTCAAGCCTGGCCCCATCTCACAGGAATTTGTAAAAATTAAATGAGGCACCCAGTGCCCACCTGGCACCCCCTCCCTCCTCCTCCAGTGCTTTGATCCAGACGCAGTGGCACCCTTCCTCAGAAAATGGGGGCGCGAGGGCCTGGTTTTCTTTGCCAGTCACTGGACACCATTCACTGGAGTTCTGCCTGGGCAAGTCGGCACCCGAGGCTGCCAGTGGATACCCAGGAAGAGCCCAGGCCCACAGGCCTGCAGTTGGAAGGCTGTGTGGAGTGGTACTGGGGCAGCCTCAAGACGTAGACATTGGAGTGGCTTTCTCTCTGGCCTCCCAGCCCCCCCAGCCCCCCCCATACAAAGGTGTTGGCCAAGCCCAGGGCAGAAGCCAGCAGGCAAGGGCAAGTCTACCTCTGGGGAGGAGGGCCCAGACCCTGCTGTCTCAACCCAGCAAACTGCTATGTGTCTGCCCTCCTTCCTCCTCGGAGTGCATGTCCCTGTGAGACCGACCGGGAATCTGGAAAGTCATCAAGCTCGGCCAGCACACAGACCACTGTCTGCACCTCTGACCACCTGAGTCAGTGGAAGACTCAGGACATGGGACAGCCTGACCCCTCGTCTCTGCCCGAATAGGGCTTCAGACCATCTGACATACAAGCGTTTGTGAGAGCCTTGCTGTTGGCTGGGAACATGACAGTGGTGGCTGTCAGGTCCTGGTGGTGACCAGGTGTGGGCATCCCTGCGCAAGTTTGACCGCACGGTGGGGCCAGGACAGAGGCGGGATGCAGACACGGGACACAGGCAAGGAAGAGAGGGGCCTGCTTAGGGAAACAGGCTCGGGCGCAGCTGGCCAATTCCAAGTGCCTAGTGTGGGACATTTAGGATGTCCGGGTCCCAGGGATGCACCATGCTTGATGCTGGCAAAAAGCCTTTCTTACCTGAGGTCAGCACCTGTGGGCTCTGGGGGAGCTGAGTGAGAGAAACAGAGAAACAGGGAAACGCATGTGGGAGTCAGAACTGAAAAGGCACATTGCCCTGCAGCACCAGTGGAGTGAAAAGTGGAGGTGCCCCCATAGGACCTGCCCCTCCAGTAATCCTTGACCTCCTAGCATGTCCTCCAGGGCCCCCAGCGCCAGCTGCCCCCCTCCAAGCCCATGTTCTGCCAGCCCCTCCCCTGGGGGCTGGTGGTTTTGTGGACTGGAACAGACGGCCCACCCAAGGCAGGCTCCCTGGGCGCTCAGGCCAGGGCACTGTCTCCTCCTCTGACCGCATGTAGGGGTCAGCGCCTGGCAGGAAACAGGACCCACCAGATAGAGCTGGACAGAGAAGAGAATGGGGGTCCAAGCAGCTGGTCCCTCAGTGATGGGGCCGTGGGGGCGCTCAGAGCACAAGACCCTCGCCCAGCTGGGCGCTGTGGTGCAGGGGGCAAGGCTCATCCTTGCAGAGCAAACAGGGCCTTGGCCCCTCCCCACCCCACTGCTGGTTGGACTCAACACTGCCCCAAACTCCCGGCACCGGCACCAAGACTGACATCCTAGGAGGCAGAGGCTGGCGGCCTCTCCTTTCCAGACAGAACAGGTCTAACCAGGCTCTGCCTCCTCATCTCCAACCCAGCAGGCCCCCACCCTTACCCCGCGGCCCTCTCAGGCACCCAGAGGCTGAAGAGGCTTGAGGCCTCCAGGCACCTCAGACCCCAGGCACCCAGCGTAGGGGGGCAGCGTCCTGGGGCCTTAGGCACGGCTGTGGGGTCTGTCTTCCTGAGGAAAACTGTTGGGGGACATGGCCTTCACAGCTTCAGGACCTGGGTCTCTGGGCCAGAGCTGGGCTTTGGGCTGCCCAGGCCAGACCCTGGTGGGAGGGGTGCAGAACTCACCTCGGAGGGCCTTGGATCTTGTTCGAGCTCTCTTTTCCTCGTTTTCCAAGCTCATCTGCAAGTGAAAACAACAGAGCTGTCAGCGGAAACCAGCAGGACCACCCTGGGAGGCTACGGCGTCACCTGGGTGGTTTCCTGGCTCAGGCTTTGGGGTACATGTGAATCTGTGACCCAGAACAAGAAATGGGCTCACAAGGCAAGAAAGGCCTGTGGACCTGGGAGCAGCAGGCAGGGAGGAGGGACTTCAGGGCAGAGACCACCAGCCCTAGACGATCCCCCGTCTCCTGTTCTGACTCTACTGCTGCCCCAGGTCCACATCCGAGGAGGAAGCTACACCCACCAGACCTTCATTAGTGTCGAGGTTTGGTAATACGTGATCTCCTGGCGACACCATCCTCTGCTCACAGTGGGCAGGGCAGGGCAGGGCAGGTTGCCCAACACTAACTCTGACCACACCGTGCGCCAGAGCCCAGCTTCCCCTGGGAGTTGTTGACCCAAGCACACTAGGGTTGTCTTGTTAGAAACAGGAGGCTGGGACCCGAGCAGGCCTCCGCAAAGCATCCAGAGGTCAATGGCTTCCATTTCTACCATGTACTGTACCAGGGAGAGCCCAAGGGGGGCAGCCTGAGCCCAGAGACCCAACCATCCCCACATGAGTCCGGACCCCCCATGTGAGCTCCTGCAGGCACAGGGGCCTCCAGGCACCACCACCCAGTGAAAAAGAGTGCAAGTCATCCACATCATGTAAAATTCTCTAATAATCACATTAAAATGTAAAAAGAAATGGGTGGAATTAATTTTCATTCTAAACCTTACTTAGACCAACCTATCCAAAACATTATAATTTCAACAGTATCAATATAAAAATTATGAATGAGATTTTGTTTCGTGCCAACTATTAGAAATTCCTCATGTCTCCTGGACTCACAGCCCATCTGAGTTCGACCAACCACATGCCAAGTACCTGTGGCCACTACGCTGGCTCCAGAGGTGGGAGGCAGACTGGGGTGAGAGCCAAGCTAAGGCAGGAATGCAGGCCAAGGGTCATCTAGGCTAGACTCACGGACCACCCTCCCAAAGGTGTCACTTCTCCCAGGAAGGATGAGTGGAGCCTCCTGAGGGGGACCCTGCATGTCCTCTGGCCACCCCACCTGAATCCATCAGAGTTCTCACCCCACATGCTCTGCCCCAGACCCACTTCCACTGGGGATGTTACCCACATGGTCCTTCAAGGGATTGGAGGGAGAACCCCCAGGAGGGCAAAGCCTGGGGACGAGGATCAGACAGGGACGCCCCCAAGGGCCACAGGTCAGCACACAGAATCCTCCTCCTGGGTCTCCAGGGACAAACCTGGGCAGGCAGGTGACAGTGAGTTAGAGGTGGGAGAGGGCTCTTCCCACCTGTCCTGGGCCACAGCTGAGGCCATCAAAGTCAAAGCCAGATGATGGGACAGGAGCAAGAGGGGGCTCCAGCTCCCAAAAGCCGGCACAAGACCGGTGTCCGAAGCTCCACCCAGGAAGAAAAGAAAGGGAATCCTCCCATTAACACACCCCCACCCCCATTAGTAAGATGGAACTTGCAAAGTGAGCTCCTCCCTGGGCAGCATGAATATACAAAGATTCATGTGGTTTGTTAAGGAAGAAACATCAAAATCTGGAATAATTTATGCAGCCTGTCTAGTCGCGGCTGCAGAGCCACAGAGCTGAGCTGTGTGTTTGCAGTCTTCCAGCAGCACGGAGGACAATTAATGTAATTTCTATTTTTAAAGCAGAGGTTCCCCCTGGACCAATGGCTTGCATTTAAAGTGAAGAGAGGAGCAGGTGTCAAAGGGACTTCATTACATTTATGAGCCTTCAAACGTTGTCTGCGCGGAGCGCAAGCCCAGCGGCTTCCGGTGCAGCGGCACAAAGGGGCTGATGAGTCCGACTGCTCCGTGCAACTCTCAGCTGAAACACAATCTACAGCTCTTCTTAAAAAAGTTTTTTGTCAGTTTTCCCAAGGAAATTGGCAAGCATTCTGCGAGGTTAAAGCGTGCCTTGGCAATTCGGATTTCCTGCAGGTCAATTATTCAAAGAGCAGAGACTGGAGAGGGTTGCAGCCTGCGAGCTCCCCTCAGTGGAGCTACAGCTGCACGTTCACTTTGCCGAGCACCTTTCCACCTGCAATTTGTCTGCATCCTATGGTCAGTAAGTGGGATGGTCTCTTCGTTGCCGGCAGCTTTGATTTTAAAAGGAAGACATGGAACTACGGGAGGAAAAGCGAGGGTTAGTGCTTCAACATGAGAATGAGTTGGGAAGAGCCGGGTGGACCACTTAGGCATCGACAGTGAAGCAGGGAAATCTGATTCCCGAACAGCTTAAACTGGCGTGGCGGCTGCCTCGGAAGCACTGGGTGAGGCTTGGCAGAACCTGCCCCGCTGGACTTGGTTGTTTTCCTTCTCAGAGGCGGTTCTCTGCTGTCCGCATGCCCTCAACTGGTGCTGTGCGTGTGTATGGTGGGAGCCCTGTACCCCACTCTCCTGCTGGCAGCCCCCCACCTCCCAGCACCACAGAAAACACACTTCCTGGTGCAAAGACAATGAGACACTTCCCAAGTTTCCACTGACTTATTTTTAAAAACTCTCCACCTGTTCTGAGCACAAACCAATCAAGGCTATTTCCAGAAGGCCCGCAGAAAATAAGTGGCCTCTCATCTTGAGGGTGAAAGGCCCCGTCACAGCCAAGCCAACCTCAGCCCCTTACCCCATCTCTCAAGCACAAGCCCGCAATGTTTCTGTGATGCCAACCGCATTCTGCCACCAGGAGCATGACTCACAACTGCCCTGGGCTCCCTAACCAGCTCTTCGCTCCAATTAAGACAGATAGCTCTGTCTCCAAAAGGAAACTACCGGGAGGAGAAGGAGCTACACGTGCAGATGCAGCCCGTCCTGCTGCTCCCCGCCGTCCCTCCCTGTTCCCCTGAACTCGCTTCACCAGTGTCCTGGCCGTGGCCTCATCCAGGACGGTGTCACTGCTTGGTTCCATTTTGCATTTTCACTGAAGTCGGTCACGTGAGCACTTCTCACAGGACACGTTACAAAGATCAGCCGCTTTCACTCCTATCCACCTGGCACCCTTGACGAAGCTGAGTTCCCTGAGTTGGAGATTTACAAACTCCAAAAACGGGAACGTGCTAAGCAACCTTGAAACTGGTAGACCCTTGGGGTGTGGTTGGGGTGTGGTTGTGAGAAGTCTGCCAGACACATAGCCAGTAACAAAGAGGAAAGGGTGAACTCTCTGTGTCCGCAAGTGTCCAGTTAGAGGCCCAGCAGGCTTTGTGCCAATCTTCACCTTCACCGGCGAGTCCAGCTCTGCCCAAGCCCTGCCCAAGTTCAGAGACCAAGTTTAGGTGGTCTCAGGAGGGGTGGCCCCCTTCTCTTTCTTGCCCGTTCAGTCATCCTTGCTCTCTCTGTCTTTGTTTCTATCGCTGTCTGTTTCTCTCTCTGTCTCTCTGTCTCTCTGTCTGTCACTCTCTTTTCTGCTTGGTCCTTCTGGGGCCTTCGCAGCTGAAGAGGTGGCTGAGGGCTGGACAAAGATCAGAGTCCGTACTGAAGCCTGGCCCCAGCAGCTCGAGACACCGTCCTGCCTCTCTGGCCCTGTGGGGATGTCCCGGCCTGAGGAGCACCAGACTGGCAGGTCCCTCACTCCAGGCAAGGGAGGATGTCAGAGGAGAGCTTGAGCGGTAGGGGCTGCTTGGACATGGGAGCCTGGGTGGGCGTGGGGAGGCTCCGTGGATCAGGGAGGGCGGCCTCAGGGTGGGGGTGTTCCAGACCTGGGGAGCAGAGTGCGGCCGTGGGTGGCCAGGCCTGCTGCCTCCGTCTTCCCAGCCCCCACCCCCTCTCCACCCTGTGCTCACCACCATCTGAAGCAAGCTCATTCACTCATGTTTTTGAGGTCAGTGTCTCTCCTACAGAGACCTCACTCACGGCTCAGTAGGGATTGTGTGAGGACAGGCAGACAGGCAGATGGACAGACCAAGGGGACAATCTGACCTCTCTGAGACCCTAGACCTGGGGAAGGTGGCCAGGAGCCATCAAAGCAGAAACCAGGGCCACAAGTTGCTCAGGGGGGCCCAGACTCCCGGGGAACTCCCTTGGCCTGGGCTAGAGGAGACAGATGATTGTTCCATTTCATTCAGAACACATTCCGACAGCTGGCAAAGCTGAGGAGTTAGAATGGACTTAGGTCAGGTTTTCAAATCCACAAGATTACATGGATGATAGGGTCCCTGTGGGAGGGCTGAGGTGTCTTTCCTCCCAGAAGCCCTCGCTGAGGCTGGGGAGCATCTGCCAATGCCAGGCGGGTCGGGGGGGACCAGGCAGTGAAGGAAACAGTGAGGGGGGCAGGGGGACATAACCGGAGGGGCAGCACCTGCCCAGTCTCCCCTTTCCCCAGGGAGGGAAGGGGCAGAGGAGTGGCACGGTCTGGGCTAGTTCTACCCTCTCACCTGTGCACAGCTGAGGGCAAGGCAGCTCACACATGGCTGCTGCAAAGCCTTGTGGCAGATCCATGTTCTCACTCCTGGGAGAAGCTCCCCTTAAGGATTTAAGAGCAGTATTCAAGTATGCTCCTTTACTCCCTACCCCCACCAAGCACCCCAGTGGAATCTTTCAGAGCCCCCAACCTCTGCCCTGCTTGCTGCTGCTGCCTGCACGGCCTTCCCAGCTCCCCTCACCTGACCACGCACCTGCAGGCCGCAGCAGGTCAGCCTGGAGAGGTAGAAGTCCTGCTGCCTCAGGACCCGCAGCACACATCCTGCTCCCATGCACTGGTCTCTGAGGCTAAGTCACAAGCCTGTACTCCTGCACCTCCTGACAGCCATCATGGCACCCCTGGCTCCTGGCAGTGACAGTCGCGTCCCCTAGGGGATGTTCCACCGTGTGTCTGAAATTCTCTGACACTCCACCCGTCATCCAGCTGACTGGCAGCTGAACAGACCAGCCTTCTCCTTGGGTTGCAGAAAGGACACTCAGGAGCATTATTTAATATGTGTCTTGGGAGGGGTTCTCCTGACATCTCTAAGCATGGGATCATGGCTCGCTCCAACCCCCAAATTAAAAATTTTAGCTATGAAATAGACACCCTGATAAAGCAGCCATGTCTGGGTGTCCATCTGTGTAAAACATCAACTTAAATGGGATTTCCACCTATCCGGGACTAGGAATCTAACCACATCAAGTGAGACAGGCTTCCCTGGTCGGGAGCATCCGCTTCGGCAGCAGGAAGACAGCCCTGCTTGCTGATTGTCCATGCAGCCACCCTGCTCTCCGACTGCATATCTCTAGTCATCTATTGAACATTGTAAGATTTGGGGCCCTAATGTTTCATTCTTCAAGGTCAAAAAGAGGTTTAAGGTCCTACCATCAATGCTTACTCCTTTTCTCCTCTAGTTAAAGGGAGAAAAGCCCAATGTCCAGCACGTCCCCCAAACACACAACCACCCGCTCTTTCCAACAGCCCCTTCCCCCTCGTCTCTGAGCTGTCCACATGCCCGGTGCTGAACTCGGAGGCAGACAGGCTGTACCGCCTCCCACGTAGGGTTCCTCTGCTCCCATGGCCCTCCAGGCACTGAGCTCCCCACCTCGCCACCTCCTGTCTAAGGGTACACGCTGCTCTCCGGTGCCCCTACCTGTCTTAGCGCCCACCACGAGAAGCCACCACTGGCGCCAGCCCCCAAGTCCTGTCCTCTTCACAGGTACGTCCTTCTCTGTACCACTCTTTGTCTTAGTGCCTCTGCTCAGAGCAGTAACTCAGGCCCAAACTAGAGGAAACCACTCCCTAATGGAGCAGTTGTGAAACAGCTGGTGCTTGGGGAGAGGCTGAGCAAGGCCACCAGGCTGGCTCTCAGCAGGTCCCGCATCCTCCAGGCTTGTCACACCTGAGCCACAGGGGGACAGCAACCCTCCTACCCACCCTCACCCAGTGCCAGCCACTGTGGGTGCACATCACCCAGAGCCCCTGTAGCTTCTTGGTTTCGTGATCTCTGGATGCTCAGGGCCGGAGCCGTGAGGC